TCGGACTCGGCAACAAGTGTTTCGCTATCGACATACTGAATGTCAGAGTCGGTTTGAGCCACATGTACCGACGGACCCCCTGCCTCTCCCGTCGCCTTGAAGGCGTTCGCGACGAAAATGGTGGGCGCTATCACAAAGATCACATTCCATGGTTTTCCTGTTGGCACCCGTCGGGTTACCCCGGCGCCCCTTATTTTTCCAGAGGTACGTCTACGGCCTCTGCCCTTCCCCGGGGAGATTGCCTCCTGCTGTGGCCCCGTAAGGGATGCCAGTTAGCGTGCCTCTACCAAGCGGTCGTTGTCAGTTGCCCTTGCCACTACCCTTACCCTTTGACCTAAGCGCGCGTCGGGCCGCGCGTCGTGCCCTTTCGAAATGGTTTCTTCATGAGACGTCTCCATCGGAACTTATGTTTCTGATAACCCAAGGAGATGCGTGGTGCTTGTTGTTCCTCAGTGAGGTGTGCAGGCGTATCAGACAAGACAAGCGCATCCCTTCCTGCAAATTCCACCCAGCCACCCTTGAGAAGATAGGCGGGCAATTTTTCTTGTACATCAGTGTGCCGCGTCCTGCGTGCGCGGCAGGTCCGTTGTGACTGAGTGGAACGGCTGCGCTGCGCAGGACGACGCGGGCCCGCGGGGCCCGACCGCCGGCCGCGTGGAGGCGAAAGGGCTGCTCGATCCGCGTGGCTGCATCGAACAAAGGGCTGGCGTGGGAATGGGGAAAGCAGGATGAAAGAGAAATGATGGGGAAGGATGGATGCGCAATTTGATCAAGCCACCCGCCAACCATGCATGAGAAGTGCCATCGTCCTCAATTGACCTGTCAATGACGGTCTAGTGTTCCAAGGCCTTCATCTGGCGAAGTGTTGGAATCGGTGCCTGAGTCGAAATCGGGCTCTGCGGGTTGCCCCGCCGAGCCCGCTGAGGTAGCGGCTTGGGTGGGGGCCGCCGTGGCCCGCAGTCCCTGATATTGGGCCCAGGAATCTTGCGGGCCCGAGGGCTGGCCTCCTTGTTGGCTTAATAATGTTGTGGCCTCGTGTGGTTGTGGAGCGTCTTTCCACGTGGTGCTGGCAGGTCGCCCCGCATGAGGTCACTGTGAAAGACGTTGGTGCGGTGGCCGTGGTTGATGCCGCCAATGTTACTGGGGGTTCTTTCAGCAATGTGGGTGTAAACCCTCGTGCGCTCCAGTAGGGAGTCAAATTGTTGCTGAGTCCCTGTCATTTGGTGGTTCAGTGGTTGTAATAGCTGTTGTGAACGCGAAGCACTGACACCTAGGGCCCTGAGCAGTATGACTGTCAGGACTTGGAAATTTGGGATGTTGAGACCCGCCGTGTCAGCTTCAAAGCATGCAATCTCGAAACGTGCCAGCGTCTGGTCGGTCCGTTCTCCTGCATGGACACGAACGTCGATCAGCGCCGTCCCCGCATTCAATCGTCTTTCATCTTCAAGATCCTCGAACTTCGTGCTGAGGAGGATCATGATAAAAAAGGGGGCCCCATCAGTGTGGCGTCCACCAATGTTCACTCCAAAGTTGATTGCAGCTGGGGGGCTCTCATAGCAATGGTCCTTACGAGACCTCCGAGGCCACGCTGTAGGGCAGCGGCCTGGTGGGAGGGAGTCATGGTGCCTGTGGTCACGTTGATCCAGGCATGTACCTCGCGAGCGCATTCGCGGAAAAGTACGTTACCGGCAATGTCCCAATGGGGGCTGGTAGTGCGCGTGTCATCTGCACCGCGTTGCATGTGTCCAACAACACATCCGATGGCGATCCAGAGGATGCCAAAGATAGTGATGCCAATCCAGCGGCCTCGTAGGTCGGTGTCGGTTGTGGGTGGCTGTTGTTTGTGTGGTAACGAGACCGTCAATTTGCGAGGAGGTGCAGTCGGCGCGATGTCGGAACGCATGTGCCATGCATACTATCTTCGAACAAATTGCCAATTGGCGTTGGTTGGTGGACTTCAGGAGTGTAGTTGCGCAGAGATGTAGGGCTCAGGTAGGAGACCTCTGTGTGAGCAGAGGCTTCAGTGCAACTGTCCTTGCGATGGCCATGGTCTCCTCCGCGTAGAGACACTGCGCCTTGATGGTCAACCATATGAGTAGACCACCGGATAGCATTGTGGATAGCAGGGAGTAGAGCTAGAGCTGGCCACCAACGGCCAGCTTCGCGACCAAACTTAAAATGAGGTGGTAGGCCCAACCAAATACTACGCCTTAGGCGTAGTATCCGTTCAACCCTGTTGTACCGTAGTAGCGATAGAGCAGGAGATAGGAGATGGCCGCGTGAGCGGCAAGATGGCATCTCAAGGGATTGTTTTCCGTATCGATGTCGGATAATGCGCCGCAGAGCGGCACAGTCAAATAGGCGGCCGGTCGTTTGAGCCCAAGCGGCCGCGGACAAACGCTCGATACCTCTCGGCTTTGCCCTTCCTCCTTCAGAATCAAGAGGCCTTCAAGGCACCCCCAGAGGCTTCCAAGAGGCCTCCCAAGAGGGCCCCAAGAGGCCAAACTTATTGATTGTCCTTCGGTTCTTGACGGATTTTGTCGTTCTCGTATTTTCGGCTTCCCGACGCTCCAAGACGCTCCACGAAGCCACCAATATCGCCCCAAGACGGTCCGGGGGGGGCTCAAGACTGTTATAGAGGGCCCCAAGACGGCCCAAGAGGCGTCCAAGACGGCCCAAGAGGACTCAAAGACGGCCCCAAGAGGGGCCCCCAATAGGCCCCCAAAACGCTCCCAAGAGGCCCCCAAACTGATCCCAAGGGCCCCCCGAGAGCGCTCCGAAGAGACCCGAAGAAGCATCCCTGAGAACTCTGATCCACAACACAGGCACTGTGGCGGGATGGGCCGACGGCCATTCGACCTGCTTGGCACTGGGACGGAAAGCGCGCGAACTTTGTGAGGGCGCAAGTCCGCTGGCTCAATGTCTTGGAGCCCTGCTGACGTTAAAGGCCTTGGCACGACGTGCGTGTGTGAGGGGGGCTTCTTCGTTGGTGTCGTCGTCTCCGTCATTCGTTAGTCGTCGTCTCTGCCGTCCCCTTTCCCTGTGCCCTCCCTTTCCCTGGGCCCGTCGCCGCTCCCCCCCTTTCCCTGCGCACTCCCCCTCAAGCGCTGGGCCCGTCGCCGCTCCCCCCCCTTCCCTAGGCCCTCCTCCTCAAGCGCGCCAGCCAAAGCGAAATTGAGCAACGTCGTTATTGACTCGATGGGAAGCCCCTTCCCTTTGATCCCTCCCCCGCCGGAGAGGGGGGGGTGTCCCGGGTGGGGTCGTGGGTCAGATGCGGCTCGGAACGGCCCGCCCGCTGCGCCACCAACCTCTCCAAAAACGGCCGCTTCGCCAGGGACGCCCTCAACAAATCGCGATCTTGGGGATCCTAACCCAAGGCGCCTTATGATACGAATGAGCGTTTCGCACGAGACATCCTCGACAAATGGCGATGTTGAAATCGATGGCCTCATCTTCGGATCCCAGGTCCAAGACGGCCTCCAACACGGCCCAAGAGGGTCCAAGATACCTCCAAGTCCGCCCAGGAAGCCTCTGAGACGGGCTAAGACGGCCACAGAGGCCCCCGAGATAGCCCAAGAGGCCTCCAAGAGGTCCTCCAGGAGGGTCCGAAGAGGCCCAAACCATTGATTTCATATAAGTTTTTGACAGATTTGGGCATTTGCTTCTGTTCGGCCTTCCGACGGCCCGAGAGCCCCCACATATCGCTCCAAAATCGCCCAAGAGGCCTCCGAAATGGCACCAGAACAGCCCAAGAGGCCCCCAAGACGGCCCCAAGATGGCCCTGCGGTGCCCGGACAAAAAGTGTCCACACCCAGGGCGGCAAGACACTGCGACGTGATAACAACCGCAACAGCATAATGCACTTGCCTCGCACCCCTCCCACCCAAAACCCAAAGTTGAAGTGTCCACATTTTGTCCCTGGCGCGCGGCCTGCCGCCTAACCCCGCCAACTTTGAGTTGGGGGAAAGAGGGGTATACATATTCGTTCGACGTGAATTGACGACGAGTTGTCTTGGCGCGACAAGTGTGGACACATTTTGTCCGCCCACCGTGGAGCACCCCAAAAGGGCCCCAAATCGGCTCAGAGAGGCCCCCAAGATGGCGTCCGACGGCGTCAGACGGGCCAGGAGGCCACCAAGACGGCCCAAGATGGCTCCAAGATGGCCCAAGACGGCCCAAGCGGCCCCCAAGAGGCTCCCAAACAGCCCAAGAGGCCTCCAAGAGGCTCCCAGGAAACTCCCAGGAGGCCCCAAGAGTGCGCCTAGAGGCCCCCAAGTTGCCTCCTCCTCTTCCTCCTCCACTTTCTCCTCCTCCTCCTCCTGATCTTCTCCGCCATCCTCCTCCAAGTGTTCACCGAAGGGTTTCCACAACGGCTGGGGGAACACATGGTCCGATAGCTTGGCGGAGATCTTGCCACAACGCTCGGCCACATGGGCGATTCCCAAAAGGCAGGGGGCGGCGGTGATTCGCCGTAGGCGTCTTCGATATGCTGAAATCCTTCATAATGGGAAAGACACTTCGAACCTCTTTTGAAAACACTTGTCATCCTTTCAACAGATCTCTTCCCTCTTGTCCCTCCTGCCCTGACACTCCTCGTCCAGCCTCCTCCCTCCTCCCTCCTTCCTCCTCCCCTCCTCTTCTTCCTCCCCCCTGCGACGACGACCACAACTACGCCTGGCACGTCGACCACGAGCACGACGACGGCGACGACGATCGCGATCACGACAGATCAAACGGTGCAGCCAGCAACGGCGTGGCTACATTGCAAGCGGAATCGGTCTGTGACTTTGCTTCCGTTTTACAGAGCGAATCTCCGTGTGCAAGCAATACCCGCATCGGAAACGGGCTGTCGCAGAAACCCAAATCCGTCCCACACTGTTAGAAGGCTACACCGTGTGCCCGACCTTGGTTCTTCTTCTTCTTCCTCCTCCTCCGACCACAGCGACGAGGCCGAGCACGACAACGGCGACGACGATCACGATCACGATGGAGACGACTGCTGGGTGAGGGCGGCGATAGTCAGCACGGGCTTCTCTGGCGCCGCACCAGGACGGGAAGTAGGCGCGGCCGTCCAAAGAGCGCGAGGAAGAGGGAGGGAGGGAACGAGAGGGGGGAGGATCCGATGAGAGCGATGGGATAAGGGGGCAGAAGTAGGGGGAGCAAGTGATCACTCATACCTCGTCGTCGTTGAGGAGCATGTTTGGGATGCCGTCGTTGACGGGGAACTCGCGACCGGACTCGGGGCAGACCTCAGCGAGCCAACTCTCTGCTGTATCCGTAGTCGCAAGCCGGAGGCGACTTGTGTAAGAAGACGAATAGAAAGTCCAGGCAGGGAGGAGGAGGCGGCGGCGGCGCGCCAAGCATCAAATGATCCAGCGTCAGAGCTCGGCAAACCAGCAGCGACCGATGGGCGGCGTTGGATCGCTGTGTCCCCGCCGATGTCGCACAAGCGCCATCCCTCGTGGCTCCCCCTCCTGGACTCATGGCTGGAGCAGGCGGATGACAATCGGCTAACACGAGATGCATGCGACACGATGCACAACACACACCAAACATTAGAGGACATTGTATGTGCTACCCTCTGCGCATTCGTCGTCTTTTCTGGACAGGTTGATTGGGGGGCCCCCACGTTCCTCGAAACCGCACCCGCCCTCGCTCAAGCACAGTCTGGCCGATTACAGCGTTCCCTACACGACTGTTAGCTCGACCAGGCGTGCTCGCATTCTCAACCCTACTTTCATGCGGATGAGGAGGAAGAGCAGGAGGAGGAGGAGGAAGCGGAGGAGGAGGAGGAGGAGGAGGAGGAGGAGGAGGAGGAGGAGGAGGAGGAGGAGGAGGAGGAGAAGGTCTCTGGAGGTCTCCAGGGAGGCCCAAAGTCATCAGAGAACTGTGCAGGCCTCCGAGCGCCTTTGAGGTGCCGAGGTGCTCCATAAGTGCGATGGGGTCGACGATATCCTCGATCCTCCTCCTCCTCCTCCTCCTCCTCCTCCTCCTCAGCATCAGCATCAGCATCAGCATCAGCATCAGCATCAGCATCAGCATCATCATCATCATCAACATTGGCATCAGCATCAGCATCAGCATCAGCATTAGCATCAGCACCATCATCACCATCATCACCATCACCATCATCATCATCATCATCATCATCATCATCATCATCATCATCATCATCATCATCATCATCATCATCATCATCATCATCATCATCATCATCATCATCATCATCATCATCATCATCATCATCATCATGATCATGATCATGATCATGATCATCATCATCATCATCATCATCATCATCATCATCATCATCATCATCATCATCATCATCATCATCATCATCATCATCATCATCATCATCATCATCATCATCATCATCATCATCATCATCATCATCATCATCATCATCATCATCATCATCATCATCATCATCATCATCATCATCATCATCATCATCATCATCATCATCATCATCCCCATCATCATCCCCATCATCATCATCATCATCATCATCCCCCTCCTCCTCCTCCCCCTCCTCGTCCCCCTCCCTCCCTTCCACTTTCTCTCCCTCCTCCTGTTCCTCCTGCTCCTCCTCCTCCTCCTCCTCCTCCTCCTCCTCCTCCTCCTCCTCCTCCTCCTCCCCCTTCTCCTACTGCGCAAGGAGCACGGGGAGGGCCGGAAGCTCGCGCCCCCACGACTGGCCTGGTGTGTCCACGACCGGGCCGCGCTCGTGGCCGCGGGCGGGGGGGCGGGCCGCGGGGGGTGAGCAGGAGCCTCCTCATCAGAGGCGGGAGCGAAAGGAGGGACAGGAGGAGAATGAGGAGGAGGAGGAGGAGGAGGAGGAGGAGGAGAGGAGGAGGAGGAGGAGGAGGAGGAGAAGAGGAGGAGGAGGAGGAGGAGGAGGAGGAGGAGGAGGAGGGGCAGGAGGAGGAGGGGGAGGCAAGGAGGGACAGGAGCAGGAGTAGGAGTAGGAGGAACATGAGGAGGAGGAGGAGGAGGAGGAGGAGGAGGAGGAGGAGGAGGAGGAGAGGGAGGAGGAGTATGAAGAGGATGAGGAGGACGAGGACGAGGACGAGGACGAGGACGAGGACGAGGACGATGATGATGATGATGATGATGATGATGAGGAGGAGGAGGAGGAGGAGGAGGAGGAGGAGGAGGAGGAGGAGGAGGAGGAGGAGGAGTGACAGGATGAGCAACGCCACTGCCAAAAGAGAAAGGCCAGACAAGGGAAGGTCACCGCTGTCAGGACAGCGCAGCCTGCCGCCCCCCATGACCGCCGCCTGCCGCCTCTTTCTGCTGTCACCTGAGGGACAGGGGCATGAGGAGTGGGAGGATGTCTGTAGTCTGCCCGGGCAATGTTTGGGCCGTCTTGGGCAAGTCTTGGGGAAATGCTGGGGCATCTCGGCGTTACCCCGCGGCCTCGTTGGGCCTTCTAGGTGATTCTGGCGCCATCTTCTCCCGCTGGAGCCGCCCCCACCTCTAGTGAAGTCGTGCAGCTACCTAACTCCTAACCTCCGTCGACAAAGGACGGTTTCTGCTTTCAAGTTTTGTTGACCCTCCGCTTGAATGCCGAATGCTCATGAGGGTTGGCGACCGTTGCCTTCCTACCTCGAGCAGGTGATTTCTAGCTAGAGCACGCTCGAGCATGCCTGGCATTTTGCATGACCCCCCACAACACTAAGTACTGCTCAGTGGGGACATGTCGCGTACAGCGTGGAGGAATTGACGAGAACCTGGGCAGAGACCAGTTCGATTCGTGAGGAAATCTCAAACGAAACCCAATATTCGAATGCTGATTTCGCGAAGAAACGTAGCGGGAAATGAAAGAAACCGCGGGTACCACCAGAAACCTTCAGGAGGCCGCGGCGGAAGCCAATTTGTTTTGAGGACATTTCAAGCGAGCGCTGCATTTCAGAATATACTCTGGGATCAGCTCGTACTGCTGATTCATACATCGGGAAACCACTCCCCCCCCCCTCGGGAGCCTGCGACTGCGCCCGCTAGCCCCGCGCGGACTTACGATTTTCCGACAGATGTAAACCGCCTACGTGCATCAACCCATTACCGCTCTCGCCAGCAAGCGTTTTGCTACTTCCTGATGCTGTCTAACATCATCGTCGTCATGCGGTTGCGCAAAGGCGATGGCCTTGCCGAGTAGCACCTCCTCCTCCTCCTCCTCCTCCACCACCTTCTCCAGAAGGCCTCCAGGGGCAACATCAATGTATGGAAACATTCAAACATCTTTGTTCCTCCGAGATCTGGGTCAAGATGAACTCCTCCTAGGGTCCATCCTGACCATTTTTTTTGAGCTGCGCCCTGCCGTGGCGATGAGTGAGCCCCCGAAGGCCAAACAATGGGGAGCAGGAGCAGGACGACGAGAGGTCCTGCGACAATCCGTTCTCAAGAACGCGCTGCATGACGCAGCCACGCTGCCAACCTCAAATGTGATCAACCCTGGGATTTGCACCGCTGCCGCTTGATATCAGTACGCTGCCACGTCATGCAGCGCCCGACTGCGAATTCTCGCCGCCGTGCCGTGGGCACGGAGTGGGGTGCTCTCAGGTCCTTTCGACTTCTCTGTGCGGAGTGCTGTACATGCTCTTTGAGGTGCCTGGAGCCCAGATCCACGGGCGCTCTTGAGCGCTCCCGGCGTGGCTCACGTGACCTTGTCACGCGCCTTGGGAGCGCGGCTTGGGACTCCACACCTCCCACGGGGCCTGAGATGGCCCCGCGGCCTGTCCTGGAGCCCTCGCAGAGGCCGCTTGGGCCGTCTTGGAGGTCCTGGGGGTCGGGAGGAGGAGGAGGAGGAGGAGGAGGAGGAGGAGGAGGAGGAGGAGGAGGAGGAGGAGGAGGAGGAGGAGGAGGAGGAGGAGGAGGAGCTCGGACCTCTTTCTTCTGTTGCACGGCTGTGCTCCCGAGCCTTGGCCTTCGTTGCTCCTCCTCCTCGCCTGGCCTATCCCCTGGCCCCTGGCGTGGCCTCGGTGCGCCGCTCCTCTGGCCTCCCCGGGGCAGCCCCCCTGGGCCGCGGAACTCCATTTTCGTCGTCGTCCTCGTCGTCGTCGTTCGTCCTCCTCGCCTGGCCCCTCCCTAGCTCCCCGCCCCCTGGCCTGGCTTCCCTGGGCTCTGCGCCGCCCTATCTGGCATCCCCTTAGCCTCCCAGGGCAGCCCCCCTTGGGCCGCCCCCCCCTGGCCTCCGAGGGCAGCACCGCTGAGCCGCGGAACCCCACCTCTTGGACAGCTGTGTTCGGAGCTTCGTCGTCGTTTGTTAGTTCGCTCGCTCCCCCCTTGCCCCTGCCTCCTCATGATGGTCATGGTGGCCCCCCAGAGAACACCAGGATGGCCCCGAGAACCCCCTCTCCTCACCCCGCTTCGCCTGGCCCTCGCCCCCCCACCCTCGTGCAAGGGACAGGGCATGCGTGCCACTTGATTTCGTCGTGGTCGTGGTCGTGGTTCTGGCCTCCCCCTCTGGGCCCCTGGAACCCTGTATTTTGTCGTGGTCCTGGTCCTGGTCGTGGTTCGTCCTCCACCCCTGGCCTCCCTCCGCCTCCTCCCTCCTGGGCCGCGGAACCCATCCCTGGCTACCTCCCTGGCCTCCTCCCAACCTGGGCCCCAGAACCCTGGAACCCTTTACTGTCGTCGTGGTCGTGGTCGTGGTCGTGGTCGTGGTTCGTCCTCCACCCTGGCCTCCTCCCTCGGCCTCCTCGTGGACGCAGAACCCGCCCCTGGCCTCTTTGGCCTCCCCCCGTCGGGTCACAGAACACTGTATTGTCGTCGTGGTGATCGTGGTCGTGGTTCGTCCTCCCCGTCGTGGCCTCCCTCGGCCTCCTCTCGCCTGGGCAACGGAACCCATCCCTGGACTCCCTGGCCTGCCCGGGCCTCCCTCGGGACCCACCCCTGGCCTCCCTGGCCTTTCCCCCCCTGGGCCCTGGAACGCTTGAATTTCGTCATGGTCGTGGTCGTGGTTCGTCCTCCCCCCCTGGCCTCCGTGGCCTCCCCCCTGGGCCGCGGACCCCACCCTCGGCCTCCCTGGCCGGCCCATAGCCATAGCCCTGGAGCTCGGGCCCCGTTCTCCTTTCTCTTCGTAGCCGTATCTCGCCATCGTGGCTCCAGCATGGCTCCAGGACGGCCCCGCCGCCTCGTGCAAGAGCCAGAGCACGTGTGCCACTCGTTCTGTTGCGTTTCTGTAGCATGCCACATCTGCGGCCCCAAGACGGGGCCCACGTGGGGGAACACGAACTTACATTTGGAGCCCTGGATCTTTAGGTGGCTTCCGAGACCGCAGGGAGTCCTCCAAGAGGCCCCCCAGGAAAACTCCCGGATGCGTCAAGAGAGCCCTGTGAGGCCTCCTCCTCTTCCTCCTCTTCCTCCTCCGCCGCGTTCACACCCATCCCATTCGCCTCTGCTTTTCCTCCCCAATGTGTTCTTCCATCGGTTTCCACAACGGCAGGGGGAACGCAAAACCGAAGAACTTGGCCAGACTTTTGCCGGCGTTCGGCCACACATGCGCCTCTACATGGCACGGTGCGGCAGGAGGAGGAGGAGGAGGAGGAGGAGGAGGAGGAGGAAGAGGAGGAGGAGGAGTTCGCCGTAGCCGTTGTCGACGGTCTCGGAGGGCTGGGGCTCGGGCGAGGTGGCCCTCCACGAGGTGGAGGTCGAACAACGCGGTGTGCAGCTGCCTCGGGCGCGCCACCCCGGCGGCGGCGCGCGCCACCCCGGCGGCGGCCGGCTCCACCGCTGTCGTCGCGGTGGTGGTGGTCGTCATCGTGGTCGTGGTGGGCACCGCCACGGCCGCGATCGTCTCGGCCACGTTGGCGGTCGCCGTCGTCGCCGACGCCGCCGCCGTCGTCGCCGCCGGGGTGGCGGCGGTAATCGTGGTCGAGGTCGTAGTCGCCGTGGTCGTTGCCGTCATCGCCGTCAGCGCCGTCGTCGCGGTCGTCGACGTGGGGAGGGGCAGGGGGGAGGGAGGAGGGAGGGAGGGAGGGAGGGAGGGAGGGAGGAAGGCGGAAGAAGGCACAGGAGGAGGATGAGGAGGATGAGGAGGAGGAGGAGGAGGAGGAGGAGGAGGAGGAGGGAGGAGGAGAAGGAGGAGGAGGAGGAGGAGGAGGAGGAGGAGGAGGAAGAGGAGCCTAGCGTAGGAGGAGTCCCAATCCCAGCAACTACAGCCCGCGGCGAGGCGGCAGCGAAGGCACGCTTGGACTGTCGAACTCCTCGCCCGGGTGGCCGACGTGGACGGCGGCACGGGGGACCGCTGTTTCATTCGAGGACCGCAATCCGGATGGCACGAGAGGGCAGAAGGAAGGGCGCATCGCAGCGGCACCAGAGACGGGTGCAGGCCAGGCTCGGGGCGATGTGACGCAATGATAGGCAACCAGTCGGGATCTGACGCGACGGGCGATGAGACCTGAGGTGGCTGCTGATCGCAGCAGGGGTCGAGGTGGGAGATGGGGGGGGGCAGGCGCCAGCGGCAGCGCGCATCGCGAGAGACGGACGGGGAGAGTGAGTCGAGCGCAACGGTAGCGGATGGAAGAACTGGGCGTGGCACCTCGGAGGCGTCGGAGCATGGGGGGACGAAGCTAGAACCGCGCGCCTGAGAGGCGAGCGGACTGGCCTCGTAGGAATCCTGCTGGCAGGTGGGACAGGGTACAACTGAAATCGATCATCGTACGGAGTCGAGGCAAAGGTGAGGCCGCTTCTGTGAGTCCTCAAGGGGGCAGACAGGATAGGGGGAGGGCACGAGAGAAGACGTCCAGAAATGGGGCAGATGCAAATCGGGGCTCACGTCTTACGAACATTAGGAGGCGAACTTGGGAGGCTAGCCCATGGAGCAGCACCGCTGGACATGGTAGGCGGCGACGAGTAATCGCGTGGGGCTGGCGAAGAAGAAGGGCGAGCGGATGAACCCGAGCTCGCGAGCCATGGGCACGGAGAGCCTGGGGGGGGCTGAGATGGTGCTGCCGTGCCTGAGCAGCGCGCTGTCATTGGCGAAGTCAGCGTCATCGGAGGAGAGGGCGTCATTGAAGTAGACGTGGCCATCGATCCACAGCGCGCCACAGGGCATGGCAAGAAAACTGAGCGACTGGGAGTCATGAGCGGCTGGGAGTCATGGGCAATGCCGCCGTATTGAGCTGGAGCGCGCTCTGATCAGGATTCGACCCGACACATGGCGACGCGTGGCCCGAACACGACAACGGGACTCGCGGCCTAACGCCATGCAGGTCGCGAAGGCCGCGCCTTCCTCCAGCGCGTGGCGACGGTGGGCCCGAACGCGACAACGGGACTCGTGATCTAACGCTAGTGTCCGCGAGAGCCACTTCTCCATGTCCATCATGTGGCGACGCTGTGCCCGAGCGCGATGCCGGGACTTGCGATCTGACGCCAGGCGTGCACCTAGCGCCGTGACTTCCTCTGGCACGTGGCGACGTCGAGCCCGAACGCGACAATGGGACTTGCGATCTAACGCCGAGGCAAATATTGCCTTCATTTCCTCCAGCGCATGGCGACGTTGAGCCCGAACACGACAACGGGACGTACGATCTAACGCCACTGCCAGACGAGGCATCATCCGTTCCTCCGCCGCAACCGACGTCCTCGATCTTCCCGACTCGCTGGGGCGTGGCGATGGCAGTCATCGGGGTAGAGGGTGAAGCCGATGGGGTGGCAAGCATCGGCATCTCGTCGAACGTCGCGAGGGTCTCAGATCTGCTCCCCGTTGGGTCACAAGAGGCGCCGTCAGAGGGCTCGGATATCAGCCTTGCGGTGAGGCCAGGAAAAAGATCGCCATCTGAGTCAACGCCAGAGCAAGCCTCGGAAGAGTCAGTGGTTGTGCCAGAAAACGACGAGGTGGAAGAGCACGAGTCCGAGCGCCTGCGGACGATGTCAATGGGCGCAAGGGCCTGCCACTTCTTGGTCAACCGTGCGTTCGGAGAAACCATTCGTAATGTTCGGACTGCCGCGCGCGCGCGCCAGCGAAATTTTCAGTCGGAGACGCGCGGCCGATGTCGGAGCGTGTGAAAAGTGTTGTAGCCAACAACGGTCGTTTCAACATGCTAAAACACGTGGGCCCGTTTCCATCAGGGCGCGGCAAGCGTGAAATCACATGGGTTCTGTTCGCCTCGGGGCAGAGCAATCATGAAAACACGTGGGTCCATTTCGCCCCAGGGCGGAGCAAACGTGACAACGTGCCCTTTTCTCAGAAATACCAAGCGTGAAAACGCGTGGGTCCCGTTCGCCCCAGAGCGGAACGACGCGTTTTCACGTTTACTGCCTTCTGGGACGAGAAGGGACCCACGCGTTTTCGCGCTTGCTGCGCTGTGGAGCGACAGTGGCCCGCGCGTTCTCACGCTTGCTGCGCTCTGGGGCGAAAAAACGACCACGTGTTTTCACGCTTGTTTCGCTCTGGGGCGAACGGGGCCCATGTGATTTAACGCTTGTTGCGCTCTGGGTCGAAAAGGACCGGCGCGTTGTCGCGCGTCCTGGACGCCCAGGGGCGGTCTCCCCCTCCCAAATGTGAGTGAGGGGGGGCATGAAGCAGGGCATGCTCGCCGAATCGGCACTGGATGCGTAACCATTTGGCCCGTTTCGTCTTGGGGCTGGGGGGTGGCCCCCTGGGGCTTCCTGGAGGGGCCCCGCGTGTCTTCGCGCTGGCTGCGTGTTGGGGCGAAAACGGCCCGCGTGTTTTCACGCTTGCTCCGCTTGCTCCGCGCTGGGGCGATCGGAGCCCGCGCGCGTTCGCGCTTGCGCCGCGCTGGGGCGAAATTGGCCCTTGTTTTTTTCACGCGTGTTCCGCTCTGGGGCGAACGCAAGCCCACGTGTTTTCACGCTTGTTCCGCTCTGGCGCGCAAAGGGCCCGCGTGCTTTCGCGCCTGTTCCGCTCTGGCGCGTGGGGGTCCATGCGTTTGCGCGCTTGCTCCGCGCCGCCCAGGCGGATCCTTTACATTGGGATTAGTTGAAGGTGTTTCGAGCGAGACGCGGGTGTTTACGTGCCCAGGTCGCCCAGGTGGATCAGTGACATGAGTATGTGCTGAGGATGTGTAAGGCGAAGCGCTTGCACTGCAACATCTGTTGAGGATGTCTCGAGTGAGGTCCTCGCCCGCAATGCAACGTTTTCTTCAGGGTGTGTTGAGAATGTCTCTCGCGAAACGCTGGTTTTTCCATTGTCTAAAGGGGTGTCGAACGGGGGCCTTGTCGTCATCTCGGTGCTTCTCCGCTTCGGTTCGGATTCGCCTTTTGATCGGTTCGTCCCACTTCGGAACTGATCGGATCTTGCATTCGAGCTGGCTGAACGCCCCGCGTGTTTCTCCCTGCCTGTGTGGTGGCGCTCGGTTCGCTGCGTTGCGGAACGGACTGTTTCGGGCGATGGCTTCGGAACTGAATCGGATCTTGAGTTCCGGCTGGTCGAGCGCCCCACGCGTCTCGACTGCAACTAGTCCGAGCTATGCGTTCAGGCAGTTCGGTCGTAAGATCCAAATCAGTTCGGCCTCGATTCTGGCGCCACAGACGGCTTGATCCACAATTCAATAGGGCGCGGCACGGTTCAACGCGGTGTGACACCTTGAACTGAGCACAGCACGGCACAGCACGGAGCAATACAGCACAGCCCGTGGCACGGTACATCGCGATCGTTACCATTGCCCATCGCCCAAGTTTGACGTCTTGAAAACGATGCCATGCTTTACATTTCTACATCTCTTTCCTGGTTTGTGGGTCGACCACTTATCTGCACTGATGTGCAACGGGTGCCTGCTGCCCTCGTGCTTGATCGTCAAGTGGCGCTAACCACGGCTAGTGCGAAGATGATGATGAAGAGCTTTTCGGCGTGGCATGGTGACTCCTCCTCCGCCTAGTAAAATGATGGAGACCTGCTTGCTCGGCGCCGCGCTGTTGAACCTGATGCAGTTGATGCCAAATCCTGCTGCTGCGAGCCACTCGGTAAGGAAATCGCGGAGGGGTCCTTGGGGATGTCGACCGTAATGCCACACCATAACGTGCCGATGTGTCCATGGCGGTCCCAGCTGTCCATCGCGAGGAGGTCAACCGATGGTGCTTGTGCTTCTGCCTTCGCGGGGCTCTTCTGGAGGTCGGCGACCATGCTGCGGAGCTCGGCGGTGGAGTTCTCGGTGATGTCGAATGTCTTGTGGGCAACCACGATCTCTGACTCTGCTGCTTCTTGTCGGTGAATGATGGAGGAGGTGACCTTGTGGAGGTGCGCGATGAACTGCGTCTGGGCCGCGATCGTGGACTCCGTTGCACTTTTCTCGAAGCGTTTCGTGGCGTCCTTCATCTGCCCCTTGAAAATGGCTTCCAGCTCGCCCTTGAGACTGTTGTGCGTGAGGTCGTTGGCAGCAGCATGCAATAGGTCTTATTGACATGGGAAGCGTTCGCGCCCTTCTCGCTTTCCTCCCCGAGGTGATTGTCTTGCAACTTCGCCCATGGCAGATCCCACGGCGCCGTGAGGATGCCGTCAGACAGCCAGATCGCTGGGGCCGCGGCACCCCCGCACAGTCCCGCGTGGATATTGAGGTGGAGGACGGACGACAATCGTCGAAGCTGGCCCTGGACCAAGGGTACGCCGTGGAAGCCTGCGGGCGCCGTGCCCGCCAGCACTGGGGTAGGAGGATAATGAGGGGGAGGGCCCCGCTTGGAGGGCACGCTTCCTCGTGGGGGCCTGCTGGCACGCCGGCGCCCGACATGGGGACGCACAGTGCCCGACAGCAAGCCTCGTCCCAGACCGACGGCAGCCGCTGCTGGGCAGGCGACGTCTGTCCCACATGCAACGTGCGCGGCGACACCGACAGCGAGTCTGGTTCAAAGTGGGCAGAAACTGCTGCTGGTCTTCGTTCCACTTCTTTCAGATCCAATTTCGATCGTGCTGAGCCTTGGGGGAGCATCAGGGCTCTGGGTGCCCGTGGGGCCAACGGTTGCACAGGGTCCAGCTTGGTTGGATCTTTCGGGCCGCGAGCAAGTCCCTCACGCCTACTCGTGCCTGCGGAGGTTACGTGCATGACGCATGTACTTCACACTCACTCCTCTCCCCCCTGCTGCTCCAACTCCTCCTCCTCCCCCCCTCCTCCTCCGCCTCTTCATGTTACATCTATGTATACTCCTGCCACTTCTCCAGCTTATTCATTGCCATCTTCTTTAAAACAGTTTCTTGTTTCTCCTCCTCCTACTTCTCCTCCTCCCCCTCCTCTTCCTCCTCCCCCCACCTCCCCTCTCCTCGTCGTCGTCGTCGTCGTCGCCGTCGGCGACGATGCCATCGTCGGCGTCGTTGTCGGCGTCGTCGTCTCCGTCGTCGGCGACCACGTCGTCGTCATCGTGGTCGTCGGCGGTCTCGCCGCCCCTCCTCCTCGGCGGCCTCGGTGTCGGCGTTCGCGTCGTCGTGTCGTCGTCGTCGTCGCCGCCGTCGGCCTCAGGAAGCCCTCCTCGTCCTCGGGCTTGCCGGGCAGCTCGCCGGGCAGCTGCGGGAGGCTCGACGGGGGCAGCGCGTCCCCGGACGCAACGCCGGGGCACTCCTGGGGAGCGGGCGCCACGACGCCGACGCCCGGACGCGACGCTGGGGGACTCCCGGGGAGCCGACGCCGCCGCCGCCGACGACGCCGCCGATGCCGCCAACGACGGCGACGGAGGGAGAAAGGAGAGAGGGAGGGAAGGAGTAAAGGAGGCACGAGCGAAGGAAGGGAGTCAGGGAAGCCAGGAGCATAAGGAAGGAAGGAGCCCAGCAGCAGCAGCGGGGCCCCCTGGCGGCAACGTCCCGCCAGGTAGCAGACGAAGCGGCACCAGCTCCATCCTCCTCCTCCTCCTCCTTCTCCTCCTCATCCTCCTGTTCCTGCTGCTGCTCCTCCTCCTCCTCCTCCGTCCCCTTTCGCACTCATCCTCTGTGCACACTGTTCATCAGAAAAAACTTGGGCCCAGGGCTCTTTTTTAGTACGTTGCACCCCGGAGTCTTACGTGAGGTGGGCCAGCGAAATTCAGCTCGTTGAGAAAACTAGGTGAAGTGTGATTTCGATTGAAAAATGCGTTTCGCGCGCGCCCGCTCGAAGAAAATGCGCCCCCCATCACGGATCCTCCATAAACAACTGGGTCCGCAGACCACCGCTTCCTCTCGTAAAAAGGGTGCGAAGCGTTTTGAGCAGACTCCCAACTAAATAACGACGTTCGGAGACCCTCGGATTTTAGCAGCAATGCGGAACAATTGTTTTTTTGCATGCCCGCTCGGGGATGGCGCGTCCTGCGCGCAAGAAATTCGAGGATGTCTCGAGCCCCGCGTTTGTTTTGCAGAAGGAATGTTGGTTTCTTGCTTGCCCGCTCGAGGATGGCGCGCCCTGCGTGGCGAATACCTGAGGCTGTCTCGAGCGAGACGCTTGTTTTGCAGCGCTTGGAAGGCCTGGGCGCTCCAGGATGCCCATGTGGTTCTGGGAGTGCGGCTGGACCGTCATTTGCGAAGGATCGCGGCCCTGGGACCGCGAACGCCACGCAACTTGCGACGGATCCTGGCCCTGGAAGCGCGGACGCAGCGTGAGTGATAAGGAATCCTGGCCTTGGAGGCGCAGGGACAATGCAATCTACTGGGGAGCGTGGCCCTGGGACCGCGAACGCCATGCAACTTACGACGGATCCTGGCCCGGGGAGCGCGGACGCAGCGTCAGCGACGAGGAATCCTGGCCCTGGAGGCGCAGGGACAGTGCAATCCCACCAGCCCTCTGGGCGTAGGTGGTCTAGAGCAGATCCTCTTCCACCCCTCCCTCTTCCCCCTTGGGGAGGGGTTTACCCCTCCCCCTACCCCCTCCCCTGGACCTGGACGGGGGGGGCCGCGGGTAGTTAGAGCGTCCAAGATGGCCCAAGACGGCTCCAAGAGCGCCTCAGAGAACCCAAGATGAGCTCCAAGATGGCTCAAGATAGCGCAAGATCGCTCACGATGGCTCCTAAGATGGTTCCAAGAAGCCCAAAGACGGCCCCAAGATAACTCCAAGTGGCCAAACAGCTCCCCAAGGAGGCCCCGAAGAGGCCAAAATCGTCCCAAAACCTAAGGAAAATCAATGATTTTTGCTTTCTCGCCTTTTCGCTTCCGATGGCCATCCGAGGCCTGGAGATGGCTCCAAGATGGCCCAAGAGGGCCCCAAGAGAGCCCCAAAAGAGCCCCAAGACGGCCCCAAGAGCGCCCAAGAGCACTCCAAGAGCGTTCCAAGAGGGGTCCAAGAGGCGATTTTAGGGGCTTCCGAGGGGGGACGCTAATTAAACCCCCCCTCTTGTTTGATCGACTCCCTCCAAGATGGCCCCAAAAGCGCCCCGAAGGCTCCCCAGAGCGCCTCAAGAGGGTCCCAAGAGGCGCCCAAGATGCCCCAAGGCGCCCAAAAAGCCCTCCAAGAGGCCCTCAAAAGACCCCCAAGAAGCTCCTTCCCCTCCTCCTCCTCCTCCTCCGATTCTTCCTCCTTCTCCGTCCTCCTCCTCCTCCTCCTCCTCCTCCTCTTCCTCCTCCTCCTCCTCCTCGACGACGACGACGACGACGACGACTCCTCTTCCATCCTCCCCCTCTCGGGGTCTGTGACAGCTTCCCCCGCCCTTTGTTATTCTGCATGCTCCCCGACTTCCCTGATCACCTCAACTCCCCTGAGCATCGTTTCTGGATGGGCTGGTGGGGATACGCGAAGCGTCAACAATTTACTGCGGAGCATGGCCCTGGGGGCGCGGGCACATCAAGGGGCCCAAGGACACACAAAGAAATACACACAAGTAAAATGATGCCCCATATTTTCTCATATCTTCTGGGTTCTTGTCTTCCCGCCCAATTCCCATAGTTTCCCATATTTTCTTGGGGATCGAAGATTAATTGTGTCTGTGTTTTTTTCCCGGAAATGGCATAGGCCCAGGGTTCTCTTTTAGTTTGTTTCCCCCCGGTTTTGACGGCTGTAGGGCCGGTGAATTTCTTTTGCGATAAATAACGAGGTCGCGTAGGGCCGGCGAATTAAAATTTGAGGATGTCTCGAACGAAACGCTTGATTGTCAGAATTTGTTGAGGATGTCTCGAGCGAAACGCTTGTTTTGTATTATATATTGTGCTCTCCTGGGGACCTCAATTCAGAGGATCTCTCAGGTGAAATGCTTGTTTTCACGTGCCCAGGTTTTGAGGATGTTTCGAGCGAGACGCTTAGTTTCACGCCTCCAGGTTGCCCAGACGGGTGTCTAGCATGAGGATTTGTTGAGGATGTCTCGAACCAGAGGCTTGTTTTCACGTGTCCAAGTTGCCCAGGCGGATGTCTAGCATGAGGCGGTGTCGAGGAAGTCTCGATCGAGACGCTTGTTTGCGCGTGTCCAGGTTGTCCAGGCGGATGTCTAGCATGAGGATGTGCTGAGAACGTCTTGAGCGAAACTCGTGTTTTCACGTGTCCAGGTCGCCCAGGCACAGCACAGCCCTCGGCACGGTACATCAATATCGATACCCTTAGCATTGCAGCCTGGCACGTTGCCTGGAACGTTCCGCGGAGCGTCCCGTGGCGAGTCCCCCTGGCACGTCGCGCGGTGCACGTCCATTGGCTCGTTCCGTAGCGCGTCCCCTTGGCACGTCCCGCGGTGCGTGCCCATGGCACGTCCCTTGGCACGTCGCCTGGCGCGTCCCTTGGGACGTTCCGCGGCGCGTCCTCCTGGCATGTCCCCCTGTCCATTAGCTCTGGGGCAGCTACTATGTGCTGAGGCCGCTCGAGCTTAAGATCTAGGTCGGTTCGGTCAGGACTCGTGTGCAAAGGAGGACTCGATCCACAACGCTATAGAGCACAATCGCGGCATGGCACGTCGCAGTTCAGCACAGCGCAGCACAGCACAGCCCACGGCGCGGTACATCAAGATCGATACACTCAGCATTGCAACTTCGGCACGTTCCGTGGCGCGTCCCGTGGCGAGTTCCCCTGGCACGTCGCGCGCCGCGTCTCCTGGCACGTCCATTGGCACGTCCATTGGCACGTTCCGTAGGGCGTCCCCTCGGCACGTCCCGCGGTGCGTCTTCGTGGCACGTCCCTTGGCACGTCGCCTGGCGCGTCCCTTGGGACGTTCCGCGGCGCGTCCTCCTGGCATGTTCCCCTGTCAGTTAGCTCCGAGGCAGCTACTATGTGCTGAGGCAGCTCGAGCTTAAGATCCAGATCAGTTCGGTCAGGATTCGGATGCAAAGGAGGACTCGATCCACAACGCTATAGAGCACAATCGCGGCATGGCACATCGCAGTTCAGCACAGCGCAGCACAGCACAGCTCTCGGCACGGTACATACATCAAAATCGATACATTAAGCATTGCATTTGCCCGTCGCCCAATCAGGTGTCTTTCAAACGTTGCCATGCCTTACATTTCTATATTCCTTTCCGGGTTCGTGGGTCGATCATGTCCCCTCCTGAACACAATGTAATTTGCAAGGGGTTCTGGCCGTGGGAGCGCGGACGCAGCGTAATTTACAGAGGATCGTGGCCCTGAGAGCGCGGACACAGCGAAATTGAAGAGGGATCCTGGCCCAGGGGGCACAGACGCAACGTACTTTACGAGGGACCGCAGCCTTGAGAGCGCGAACCCAGCGTAATGAGCTGGGGATCGCGGCCTTGGGCGCGCGGACGCAGCGTAATTTATGAGGATTCGCTGCTTCGGGTCCAGCGCCTGTTTCTCCCGGAGAGGGCTTAGGCCCAGGATTCTCTTTTAGGCGTTTCCCCCCCAGATCCGACGGGAAGAGGGCCGACGGGAAGAGGGCCGCCGGATTGCTCATAAGCAATGTGTGCAGGTGCGTCTCTGTGTCGACGACAGCGGCGTGTGCCCAGCGTGCAGCATGAGCCTTGTCGAACGATTCCATGTCATACGACACGTGACCGACAAGAGGCGTCCGCGATGCCGAGACTTCATTTTGGCATCCCTGGACCCGCTCGACCCGCCGCTCGTACAGACATGGGAGGATCGAGACAGGGCCCGCTTAAGACAGGCTCGACAGCAAGGATCCACCCACATCCTGGCCTCCGGCTCAGCCAATACAGCGGCTGGCAAGAGGATCGGCCGGGTGCAGCGCTAAAGCGCGTAATGTATGCACCATTGTTGTAACGTGGGGCTCCCCTGTGGGAACCTTGCCAACCAAACAGCTATGAATAACGAGGCGAGAAGAGGGCTGGCGGAATTATTTTTGAGGATGTCCCAAGCGAAACGCTTATTCTTCCTGGCCCAGGGTTCTCTTTTAGTAGGTTTACCACCCGGCCCCGACGGCTGTAGGGCCAGCGGAATTGTTTTGCGACAAATTGCAAAGTACAGTGTGAACTTTCAGTAGAACAAATGCGTTTTTCGCGTGCCCGCTCGGGGAAACTTTGCCCCGCATCTCGGATCCCCGATAAATCACGGGGCCCGCAGACCACCGTTTCCCTTCGTAAAATAGAGGGTGCGGGGTATTTTCAGCAGAATCCTCTAAAAAAACCGAAGTCTGGAGCCCCGACCGCGAAGCGGCAAAAGCGTCCCGCGCGCAAGAATTCCGAGGACGTCTCGCGCGTGCCGCGTCCC